CATTCATTTCCACACAAACGCTTTCTTGTCAAAAAATCCTCTTGATATCCCTCCGTGGCCTTAGCCATGGCGTCCTGCAAGTAATTTAATTATTATTAGAAAAGAAATTGAATCATACTTGTGTGCTGGCAGAACAGCGCTCACCAGCAATCAAGTCAGAGCAAGAAGTGTGGGTTGAAAACCCTATATATGCAAAAAATGGTGATTGTGTCCGTGGCTTGAGTGGTTTGCCTTATTATAAGCGCAATTCCGCCAAGGGCCAGAGAGTGTCAGCCAATCGTTCTTGCAGAAAGGAAGAATAGTAGCAACCGTCTAGATAATTGTTTCCAGGGTCTGTGTAGGTCCCATTCTGTCTGTCCGTCTGGTACTAGGGGATGAAACGCAGAGGAGAGCGACCAGTTTTAATGCCAAGTGCCTATGCAATAAAGCCATCCAAACATTTTGAATTAAATTGTCACGTACCATCGATCATCGGATACACCACGTCTCTTCATAGACTCCATGTTAATCTCGATCACCTCACTGAATAAAAATCTGAGCCGTCTCGACAGCCATGGGGTGCTTATTCCAAAGTCACAAAATGAGCCTTCTTTGACAGAGCGGTCAACAATAACAAATGATTCGCAGGATGGCTCTTGGTATGGTGGGAAAGCCTCCACTATAAAAATCCATGGCAATCATATTGCCAGGAACGATCAGGTATGGTCAAAGGACGTAACAACCCCCAGCGCCTTGTTTCTTCTGGTTGGCTTGTTTCTTTGCAGATGGTGCAGGACCGTGACGTATCGCTCACAATCTCCAGTCCATGATAAGAGCCACCCAGAAGGTGCGTCTAAGCAACTCCAGCGTCTTTGCCAATCCAAAATGTCCTTGCCATTGGGTGGTCGTGACAATGCTCCCAAGACCTGCGTCCTGTACCTCCCTCCTCGTACTTACGATCAATCCTATCTTCCGTATCAGACCTCCCTCGTTCGAATAAAGATAACCCCTGGCAAGGAAGGCAATGTCCTTGATGCGTCTTGCAATTTTGCGCGCAGATTCCGTCTGAAGGTCCAAAAAGTTTCCATTATTATGACAGGATGGTATCTGGCCTGGGTTGACACACCTCCAGTTACACGAGGATCCTCGAACACCACGCTCGATAGGGCATCTGGCTTAGTGTTCTGGAACCTGCCTGTAGTGATATGGAATGAGAAAATGAAGAAGAGAAAAGCCGCACCCACCTGCTTGGCGTGGCCTTAGAGGTTTAGCTGTCCCTCAGCTATATTCAAGAATTTTTATGATACAGTAAAGAAAAAATAGGTGGTGGCTCCTCCTTCCAACAAGTAATCTCCATTCTCTCCAAGAGCGATCTTGATGGCCATAAAGCATCAACGGTCCCCGATGTCATATTTTCGCTCCTGCCGGGGTAAGTTTTCTGGAGAAGAAAAATGCCACCGGGTGCAGAAGCTCTTTTGGCCCCTTTCTCTGGGACAGAATTGATCCCATCCAGCATTCTCGAATGCCATCATCACCTCTAGTACATAAGGTAAGCGCATGCTTCCGGGGTGCCCATGGATGGGTGCCATTTAATACAACTTCTTCAGGAAATTCGAATGCCTCCATGGGCCTCTGATGTCCATTTAAAGCGTGGTCCCAAGCTTGGTTAGCTGTGTGATATAGGGAGACCATACCTGAAAAATTCCCTGATGAACTTCCTATAGAAGTTAGCGAATCCAATGAATCGTTGAACGCCTTTTTTGTCAGTAGAATTGGCCACTCGAGAATTTGCCGCGACCTCTTGCGGGATCCATTGCAAACCCCCCGCGTGGAGATGATCAGACCCAAGAAGGTAATACTCTGTTGCTCGAAAGCTACAAAACACATGTCATCGCTTTGGCATATAAACCAATGTAGGCGCAAGCGCTCCAGAACCATGCCTCTCACATGAATCCTATTGTAATCTAATGAACGGTGAAAATATCCAAGATGTCATCGAGGTACACAATGACACAAGATGTCCAAGTAATCCCTGAAGACATCATTAACAAAATGTTGGAAGGTGGCCGGGCTCATTGCAGAGTCCAAAGGGCATAACAAGATATTCGAAGTGACCAAACCTGACGTGCGAAAAGTCGTTTTCCCACTCAATCCCCCTCTCGAATGCGAACTAAATTATATGCCCCCCTGAGATCCAATTGGTAAAGCAAGCGGAGGACCATAGCTATTTGAAAAAGCTGACAAGCCTACTAAGTGATTTGTATTAACCGTTTGTTTCCTGCTGTAACCAGTGAAAGCACAGTTCATTAGAAGTATAATCTTTAGATTAGTAAGCTCTTAAGAGCAGGACCGTTTCTAATTTTAGCAACATCAATCCTGCTTTTTTTTTTCCCCACCAATAAATTGACTACCTATTTGTTGTTGCTGTCCAAATAAAATGTGGGAATATGTATTTGATCAATAAATGTTTGGGACTATGTATATTTTGGGGGTTTAAGTTCAATAAACACTATCACCCCTAACACTTATATTTTGCGAGCTATATAATATGCCCCAAATCTAGCTTGTTAGAGGTGCACATATGCAAGTATGTCCAAACTAACAAACCAAAAGCCCTCTATTGCACCACAAGACCATGTTATGTACCATTTTTTATGTTAAAAGGTCTTGTTCAATGTGCAGCTATTGCTATCCTTATTCTTACAATCTTCTTATTAATAGTAATAAAAATGTTAGGCCCCCAATTTATGATTTTGACTTTGGGCCTTTACCAGCAAACATATATTCGCCAATGTTTGTTCATATACACAGTAGAGATGTTTTTAACATAATATTACACCAATGTCATATACACAGTATGAGATGCAAACATATCTTTCACCAATTCATATACACAATAGGAACTGCAAACATATATTCACCAATGTCATATACACAGTTGAGCTGCAAACATATAATTCACCAAAGTCATATACACACTAGAGATGCAAACATAAAATTCACCAATGCCAAATCCACATATATTTGCAAATGTCATATACACAATGGAGCAAGTGTTTGAAAATTGCTATGGTGCACAAATAAACGCACATTTACGGCTGTATTGGAGGAGGTGCTATTTCAAGGATGGACTGGCCAGCAATGGTGGCACTCCACCTGCCTTTTGAACTGCAGTACCAGGGCTGGCCAGCGGATGCTCCCAGCAATCAGAGACTCAACTTTTGCAGCCAGCTAACACACTGGAACAGATTATGCTGGGGTATTTAAGGGATGGCCCTTAACCCAACAGACTCTGCCTATTGTGTAGTGTTTGTCCCTGGGCCATGTATCCTGTTTCTGTCCTGCATCCTGTTTCTGAACCGCTGCTGACAGTCTCCTGCTCTTGATTCCCAGCTCGCTCGCTGAAACCATCCCTCTGCCTGACCCTATGTACCACAACAACTGCTAATGCTACCATGTTCTGATCCCTGGCATGTGACCCTGACCATTCCCTCATGCAATTGACCCTCTGTACTACGCTGCTTGCTACCTGCTGAAACCTGGCCTGTGACCCCGACCAATCACCGCTTGCTCGCCCCTGTACCTACCTGCCCTATGATATTGACCCGGCCTGCCTGAACGACGCTTTGCATGTATTACTGTTATCTGTGGTGGTTGGTTTTTGGTTTGGTTTTGCACTGTATTATGTTTTAGTGTTGCACTGCATTTATGTTTGTATTGTTAGTGTTAATAAATTATATTGTTATAACATATCTGAGGTCTGCGTTTCCCTGCGTCAGCCACACACCTCTGGTCACATATAGTACCTGGGAGCCCTAGACATTACACCAAGGCCAATCCTGACCAGCAGTGGCTGCACAGGGAAAGCCATCTTGGTTTGTTGATGGGAAAGGATGGATCTGGATGAGGTTGCGTATTTATATATCTGCTAGTGTTTGATGACAGAGAGTATGGCTTTCAAACTCTGAAGGAGTATACCCGGGATGAACTGCTAGAAATGTATACGTCTCGCTCATGTTCTAGTAGATCAGGGCACAGAGTTCTCTGAGGTGCAGCCATTGATTGAGGTTTGTGCTGAGTTGGTTTCATCTGTTCCCCCGAATGCAGGGATGAATTTTTTTGCCACCATTTAGTGCAGACCAGGTAGAGTCCCTGGTGTGGTTATTAGAGGATGATGTGGGGTTTACTTTCTGGAGCGTTATTCCACATGTTCACCACAGACACTAAGAGATTGTATAAAACGCAGTGCAGTCATTGACCAGACAGGCTTTGTGTAAGCTCAGCTTTGTTCAAACCCATACTGCAGACATGGACTAGACTTGTTGCACCCAGCCTCAGTCAGCTTACAAAAACCCAGTCCTGCTTCTAAATCTCTACTCCTGTATTCCCACCAGCTCCTCCAGTTTACAGCCCAGTATACTTGGCTATCTACCCGCATGTCAGTACCACTGTTCCCACTCGCTGCACCTATCCTGCCTTTAACCCTTAAAAAAGCCCTCTGAGCACTGCAACTGCTCCCTCTCCTGTTTCCATCCTCCCAGTTTTTCTCTGTCTCCAGCTGCTCCAAATCGTTTGCAGACCTGCGTTTACTTGCAGTGCTCCAGTAGTTAAAACCAGAAAAAAGCGAAAATTCTTTCCAACCAATACCATCCTGCCAGTATCCAAACCGTGAACCTGCCTTCCGTGACTCAGCCTGAAGCCTCTACTCAGCCTGAAGCCTCTACTCAGCCTGAAGCCTCTACTCAGCCTGATGCCTCTACTCAGCCTGATGCCTCTACTCAGCCTGATGCCTCTACTCAGCCTGATTGCCTCTACTCAGCCTGAAGCCTCTCTTCAGCCTGATAAGCCTCTACTCAGCCTGAAGCCTCTAACTCAGCCTGAAGCCTCTACTCAGCCTGAATGCCTGCATTCAGCCCTGATGCCGCTACTCACATCATGATGAACTGATCCAGCCCTGATGATCCTAATAGGCCAGTTGACTCGATGCCTACTCCTCTGTTGATCCAGATGATCCGGTACCTGACCCAGTGCCCGCTGTTGTGCCAATTGACTCAGAGCCCGCTGTCATAACCTGGTGACCCGGTGCCCAATAGCCTTGCCAGATTGACGCGGTGCCCGCTGTTCAAGCCAAATGACCTGATGCCTGGTGACCCAGTGCAGCCTATCCACGCTGTCATACCTGGTGACCCGATGCCCGCTGTCGATGCCAGACAATCCGATACCTGATGACCCGGTGCCCACTGTGCCGTGCCTGTTTGGAGCCCACTGTCTTGCCAGACGACTCGGTGCCTTCGCTGTTCCCGCATCGACTCGGTGCCCGCAGTCTTGCCAGACGACTCGGTGCCCGCAGTCTTGCCAGACGACTCGGTGCCCGCAGTCTTGCCAACAGACTCGGTGCCCGCAGTCTTGCCAGACGACTCGGTGCCCGCTGATTCCGCCAGTTGACTCGATGGCCCGCAGTCTTGCAGCAGACGACTCGGTGCCCGCGAGTCTTGCCAGACGACTCGGTGCCCGCAGTCTTGCCAGACGACTCGGTGCCCGCAGTCTTGCCAGACGACTCGGTGCCCGCAGTTCCGCCAGTTTGACTCGATGTGCCCGCTGTTCCGCCAGTTGACTCGGTGCCCGCAGTCTTGCCAGACGACTCGGTGCCCGCAGTCTTGCAGACGACTCGATTCGGTGCCCGCGCTGTTACCGCCAGTGGACTCGATGCCCCCGCAGTCTTGCCAGACGACTCGGTGCCCGCAGTCTTGCCAGACGACTCGGTGCCCGCAGTCTTGCCAGACACTCGGTCCCGCAGTGTTTGCCAGACGACTCGGTGCCCGCTGTTCCGCCAGTTGACTCGATGCCCGCTGTTCCGCCAGTTGACTCGATGCCCGCAGTCTTGCCATGGACGACTCGGTGCCCGCAGTCCTTGCCAGACGACTCGGTGCCACGCAGTCTTGCCAGGCGACTCGGTGCCCGCAGTCTTGCCAGAACGACTCGGTGCCCCGCCAGTTCCGCCAGTTCACTCGATGCCCGCTGTTCCGCCAGTTGACTCGGTGCCCGCATCAGTCTTGCCAGACGACTCAGTGCCCGCAGTCTTGCCAGACGACTCCGTGCCCGCAGTCCTTGCCAGACGACTCGTGCCCGCAGTCTTGACCAGACGAACTCGGTGCCCGCAGTCTTGCCAGACGACAGACTCGGTGCCCGCTGTTCCGCCAGTTGACTCGATGCCCGCAGTCTTGCCAGACGACTCGGTGCCCGCCAGTCTTGCCAGACGACTCGGTGCCCGCAGTCTTGCCAGACGACTCGGTGCCCCAGTCTTGCCAGACGACTCGGTGCCCGCAGTTCCGCCAGTTGACTCGATGCCCGCTGTTCCGCCAGTTGACTCGGTGCCCGCAGTCTTGCCAGACGACTCGGTGCCCGCAGTCTTGCCAGACGACTCGGTGCCCCGCCTGCTGTTCCGCCAGTTGACTCGATGCCCGCAGTCTTGCCAGACGACTCGGTGCTCGCAGTCTTGCCAGACGACTCGGTGCCCACAGTCTTGCCAGACCGACTCGGTGCCCGCAGTCTTGCCAGACGACTCGGTGCCCGCAGTCTTGCCAGACGACTCGGTGCCCGTTGTTCCGCCAGTTGACTCGATGCCCGCAGTCTTGCCAGACGACTCGGTGCCCGCAGTCTTGCCAGACTACTCGGTGCCCGCAGTCTTGCCAGACGACTCGGTCTGCCCGCAGTCTTGCCAGACGACTCGGTGCCCGCAGTTCCGCCAGTTGACTCGATGCCCCGCAGTCTTGCCAGACGACTCGGTGCCCGCAGTCTTAGCCAGACGACTCGGTGCCCGCTGTTCCGCCAGTTGACTCGATGCCCGCAGTCTTGCCAGACGACTCGGTGCCCGCAGTCTTGCCAGACGACTCGGTGCCCGCAGTCTTGCCAGACGACTCGGTGCCCGCATTCCGCCAGTTGACTCGATGCCCGCAGTCTTGCCAGACGACTCGGTGCCCGCAGTCTTGCCAGACGACTCGGTGCCCGCAGTCTTGCCAGATGACTCGGTGCCCGCTGTTCCGCCAGTTGACTCGATGCCCGCTGTTCCGGCAGTTGACCTCGATGCCCGCAAGTCTTGCCAGATGACAGCGTTCCATTATAAAGCCAGTCATCCGCAGATGACTCGGTGCCCGCTGTGCCCGCCATAACGACCCCTCGGTGGCCCGCCAGACGACTCGGTGCCCGCAGTCTTGCCAGACGACGTCGGTGCCCCAGTTCGCCAGTCTTGCCCGCAGCCAACGACTCGGTGCCCGCAGTCTTGCCAGAACGACTCGGTGCCCGCAGTCTTGCCAGGACGACTCGGTGCCCGCAGTTCCGCCAGACTCGATGCCCCGCTGTTCCGCCAGTTGACTCGGTGCCCGCAGTCTTGCCAGACGACTCGGTGCCCACTGTCCATCCTGTGACTCGGTGGCCCCACGCCGCTTCGTCTGGGGCCCGAGACCTGTTGCTCCCCGCCTGATGGCCCGAGACCTGTCGCTCCATCTGGGGGTCCGGCGCCCGCCGCTCCGCCTGGGGGCCCGAGGCCTGTCGCCCTGCCTGGGGGCCCGATTGCCTGTCCGCCTCCGCCTGGGGGCACCGATGTCCTGTCGCCCCGCCTGGGGGCCCGAGGCCTGTCGCTCCATCTGGGGGTCCGGCGCGCCCAGCCGCTCCGCCTGAGGGCCCGAGACCTGTCGCTCCATCTGGGGGTCCCGGCGCCCACCGCTGCGATCCGCCTGAGGGCCCGAGACCTGTCACTCCATCTGGGGGTCCCCGGCGCCCGCCTCTCCGCCTGAGGGCCGAGACCTGTCGCGCTCCATCTGGGGTCCGGCCGTGCCGCCCTCTCCCGCCTGATGGCCCGAGACCTGTCGCTCCATCTGGGGGTCCGGCGCCTGCGCCTGATTATCTCCGCCTGAGGGCCCGAGACCTGTTGCTCCATCTGGGGGTTCCGGCGCCCGCCGCTCCGCCTGAGGGCCCCCGAGACCTGTAGTTTCTGCCTGGGGGTCCGGCGCTTGCCCGCTCCGCCTGGGGGCCCGAGGCCTGCCGCCCCGCCCGGGGCCCGAGGCCTGTCGCCCCGCCCGGGGCCCGGTGCCTGTCGCCTGTCGCCCCGCCCGTTGCCTGCCGCCCCGCCCTATGTGGGCCCGGTGCCTCGCCGCCGCCCGGTGGCCCGATGCCTGCCGCCTCCGCCCGGGGGGCCCGGTGCCTGCCGCCGATGTGCCTGGTGCCCGGGGGCTGCCCGGTGCCTGCCAGCCTGGTCCCACCGCCCCAGGCCCGGGGGCCCGGTGCCTGCCGGCTCCATCCCGCGCCGTTGGCTCGCCCGAGTGCCTGCCGCTTCCGCCTGGTGGCCCGCTGCCGATGTGCTGCTTCTCCTGGTAGCCCGATGTGCCTCTGGCCCGGAGTCCTGCCCGATGTGCCTCTGCCCAGAGTCCTGCCCGATGTGCCTCTGCCCGGAGTCCTGCCCGATGTGCCTCTGCCCGGAGTCCTGCCCGATGTGCCTCTGCCCGAGTCCAGCCCGATGTGCCTCTGCCCGGAGTCCAGCCCGATGTGCCTCTGCCCGGAGTCCAGCCCGATGTGCTTCTGCCCGGAGTCCCAGCCCGATGTGCCTCTGCCCGGAGTCCAGCCCGCTGTGCCTCTGCCCAGAGTCCAGCCCGGTGTGCTCTGCGCCGTGTGTGCCTGCCTGCCCGGAGTCCACCCGATGTGCCTCTGCCAGGGAGTCCAGCCCGATGTGCCTCTGCCCGGAGTCCAGCCCGATGTGCCTCTGCCCGGAGTCCAGCCCGATGTGCCTCTGCCCGGAGTCCAGCCCGATGTGCCTCTGCCCGGTGTGCCTCTGCCCGGAGTCCAGCCCGGTGTGCCTCTGCCCGGGATGTGCCTCTGCCCGATGTGCCTCTGCCCGGTGTGCCTCATGCCCGGTGTGCCTCTGCCCGGTGTAACTCCGCTGCCCGGAGTCCTGCCCGGTGTGCCAGTCTTTGATATCCCGCCATGTTACCTAGACCCGGGGCTGTGGAACATTATTTCCAGCTAGGACTGTTTTGGAGCGTCACCTGAGGCCGCTCCTTGAGGGGGGGTACTGTCAGGAATGGACTGGCCAGCAATGGTGGGACTCTCACCTGCCTTTTGATCTGCAGTACCAGGGCTTGGCCAGTGGATGCTCCCAGCAATCAGAGACTCAACTTTGCAGCCAGCTAACACCTGGAACTGATTATGCTGGGTATTTAAGGGATAGGCCGAGACCCACAGACTCTGCCGTTGGTGTGTTGTGATTTGTCCTGGGCCCTGTTATCCTGTTTCTGTCCAGCATTCCTGTTCTGAAACTCGCTGCTGACTTATCCTGCTCTGATCCCGGCTCGCTCCTGACCAGCCCTTCCCTCTGCCTGACCCTCTGTACCACGCCTGCTTGCTACCTGTTCTGAACCCTGGCTTGTGGACCCTGACCCATACGCCCTCTGCTACCCTCTGTACTACGCTGCTTGCTACCTGCTGAAACCTGCCTGTGAACCCCGACAATCTCCGCTCTGCTCCCCTGTACCTACCTGCCCTAACTTGATATTGACCCTGGCATGCCTGAACAGGACGCTTGCTTGTAATGTACTAGTTATCTGTGGGTGGTTGGTTTGGTTTGGTTGGTTGCACTTATTATGTTTTAGTATTGCACTGCATTTATATGTTATGATATTGTTAGTTTTAGTTTTAATAAAATTATATATAGTTTATAACATATCTGATGTCTGCTGTTTATCCCTGCGTCAGCCACACACCTATGGTCACACCTGGGAGAGCCCCTGTCAGTGAGCTATAGGCAGCTGTCTCATACCCAGGAAATAACGGTCATACACCATTTGCAGGAAGGAGACCCTATTGCACACAACCCGGGGTAGTGGTGTGGGTGAGTGTTGAGTGTGTGATGTGAGTGTAGTGGTAAATTGCAAAGTCTCATTTTTTAGCTTTGGTGCATTGTTCTTTAGGTGGAATTTCCAGAACACGACATCAGTTGACATGGCGAGATTCACTGTTTCTGTTCTGCGGACCAAGGGAGCCGACTACCACATTTGCAGAGGGAAACACTATACTTAATGTATTTTCAGATATTGAAAACAATCGTCCAATTCCTAGATACAATTGAGGTACAGTAGCAGAGGTTTCAAAGTGTATTCCAAATAAAGAAGTTAATGCGTTACTTAGCTAAGCTACTTACAGGTGGCACAGACACAAGCATACACCCAGGGCCCCCGTTAAAATATCACCGGGGGGGCCCCAAAAAGCATACCTACAAACCCCCCAAACCAAACCCGGGGGAAAAAAATTCCCAAAAAAAAT